ATAGAAAGCAGCTTCCGGAACTGCGTAGTCGCCTCCAACTGCGAAGTACTATTATCCGACCAAACACCAGAAACCAAAGATGGAAGACTTTCTAACTGCAATTCCAGGTAAACCAAAATCAAAACCCTAACCCTAACTATAGATCAATGCACTGTCAACGACCAACAATAAGTAGACAACGTGAATTAAGTTAAATTAGCATCGTTTTCACTGAATACCTTCTTCTCGACATTAGAGGAGTGGACGGCGGTGGGGAACTGTTGGGCGGCCTGGAGGCCCTCACGCCTCTTCTTCTGCAAGCTCTCTTCGCGCTTGCTCTTCCTGATCTCCACCATGTTGTCTTCCCTCCTCCTGCGGCCTTCATCAGCATCTACAGCCACCTTGTACCGGTTCCGGCGGGCCTCAGTGCGAGTGTTGGTGTTCGGCCTGAGCGACATGCTTAAAAAGACGAAAAAGACAGAGCACGAATCGAGATCGTGGCAGCAAGGCTCTCGGCGGATCGACTGAGAGAAACCCTAGCAGAGCAGATTCGAGAGTAAACTAAAGGAGAAGCAAAGAGAGGGAAATGAGATATGCGCGGAGGTTGGAGCAAGGAGAAGGGTTGCCTTTATACATATTTTATTTATAATTTTGTGCTTAATTAAGGAGCAAGTTTCAGTAATCTTCAAATATCAAAAAAATAAAATAAAATAAAATAAAATAAGTTTCATTAATCTTTGTTAATCGTTTACTAAAGTCCAAGTCTTTTAACTGCATTTTGATTTCTTCCTAAACGCTTATATTTTCTCATTTCCGTCACTGTTCATCGTTGGGCTTAAATTAATAGGAAATCATTAATGAAATATTCGTTTTGTATTAGTAATAATAAGTTATAGGTTTGGTGGATGGTCTGAAACCTTTTTATTTATTATTATAAAATTCAATGTTTAAACTTAAATTATTTATTTATTTATTACAATATTATTATAAATATGGCATCAATTTGTCTAGTTTTTCCAAGTTATTCCTAAGCATAGCTTCATTAGTTGGCTAGCTGTGCTTAATTGACTAAGCATAAGGGCAAGGTAGAAGCAATGGACCCCCACAATTTCTGATACTTGCATCCTTTGCAATTGCAATCCAGAAACAAATGAGCACTTCTTTTTTAAGTGTAGCTACACAAGACGAATATGGCAATAACTTAGCTCTATGCTTGGTGTCTCATTTGTTGACTCTTGGCAAGTTTTATTCCAATGGATGGGTAAAAAACTTAGAAGGAAATCTCTACACAATTTGCTAATTAAATTAGCTTGGAATGCAGCAATCTACCACACATGGTTGGAAAGAAACAGAAGTTTTCACCAGCAGCTTTTTAGAGTAAAGATCATGATTGTTCAAGACATTCAATTTGAGGTAAGAAGCAAGATTTTGGGTTTTGCTCGACCAAACTCTTCTCTTCTACACATGACTATGACATACAAATGGGGTCATGAGACAGTTGTGAAACATTAACTTTTATATTGTTTGTACAGTTTTATCATTTTTTTTTACAGCTTCTTTTACTTTATAACAGTTTATTAGCTGCTTTATTGTATAGACAATTATATTGGATGAAGAAGATTTACATTTTATCTAAATATATATATATATATATTAAGGATCAAAGGAAAATAAATAATATCGAAACATTTAAAATAAAGAACTAGCTAAAAGAAATTATATTGAAATTGTTAAAATTTTGATTTTAAAACTATTGTTTATCTTTTTCTAAGCTATCCTTTTATATTTTCAATCAACTAAATTGTAATAATAAATCAAAATATTATTTTATTATTTAAATGAAACTGTAAATAAAAAATAAAGAGAATAGCTTCACCATTTTATGATTTAGCTTTTTTATTGATATAGCATAATGTAAGTAACATTATGAGAATATGATTTATTCAAGTTTGACACATAATATGTTTTTATTAACTAAAATATACAAGTGAGTCAATCAGTCATTTCTTTTCAATTAACTGCAGATGTTAGATGGACCAAAATAAAATAACAGCAAGTGTTAACGAAGGGATGAAAATGGAATAATTTAGAGTTTAGGGATGAAAATGAGAAAATAAAAGCTAATAACCTAATCAAATCAAAATGCGCTTAAAGAAAAGAAAATAAAAAAAAAAGGTTTTTTAATAATTAAATTCCTGTGAGCCCTCAGCCTTCAACTTTTACCCTCTTTGAAATTGAAATTGCCAACATCCATTCAAACGAAAAAGGAAAAAGGTTTTTCTCTTCTTACTCTTTATTTTATTTTATTTTTATACATTTGGTATGT